AGGAGACCAGTCTATTTATATAACTGGCCCCATATTCTCTTCCATAATTCTCCATATTCTCTTCCAAATTCTTGTGTAGCTTCATGTCAACAATGGGGAAGTGAACTAAAGTCCTCCACTATACAGTAACTTACTAAGTTAAATTTTGCCCACTAGAAGTTATATTGTTGTACAGCACACTTAGACATGCACACAAATATTTTGTAAAATGTCCTGACTAGATAACAGGGCAAGAGTGAAGAGAAATTTCTGAATCAAGGTGGTTCATTTAACTGTACTGCAGCTATATTGATTTTTAACAACTTTGCACATGTCAAGATTTGTTTTTCACATATTCTTACAATCCTTCGTACTTCAAGAAAAATAATTGGGTTTGAGTTGGTATATGGATTTTTCACAGAAATGAAAGATGCAGCCTAGGCCTCAGACAAAATTTCAGTACTAATTTTTTTAGTTGCCTAATGCAAGAGGAAAATATTTCCTGAATACCATGCTTTAATAATTCTGTTGATTATTCAGCTGAATAAAATGTTGATTATTCAGGATAATAAAATCATGAAGCTATGGGAAATTTTATGTACATTATATATAGGCAATACCTCGAATTTAAAAGATATTAAACATTATGTAACTGTGCCACAGTCTCAGCATGAACAAAACTTATTCATAACAGTGAAATGAAGAACATGTTTTAATAGGGCTGTTAACATTTTTTTTTATAAAGGTTCAGAACTCTAAATATTGACTCATGTTTCATCTCCTTTTACTTTACATTTTTGACAATGTAGATGAGATTTTACATGCCAATCGCTTGCATGATTAAGACACTTCTGCTGCTCTGCTTGTAAAACTATGACATTTGGTAAAAGGCCACAATTTTGGCTGTTATAACCCTCGTTATTCTTAAAATCACATTTAGATAAAGTACACGAGTATGCACTGGGAAAATGAACAGAAGACCTTGGAGAAATAAGCTATGTAAAGTAAAGTATTCATAGCTCGTAAGTTGGTTGCATTCACCTGAGATGAAATTCAGAAGCTAGGATAAATGACTCTAATATTGGCATATTTCCAATTAAAATGAAAAAAAAATGTTACTATACTTCTGGACTGATCACTCTATTTTAAGATACATCAGTTTTCTTGACAAGATTCTTGGTATTTGAAATATACCAAGGCATCAGAAATTAAAGATTTTTCAGGCATGGAGTTGCCCAGACAATTACCATATCCTTACAGAAAGTGAAAGCTACACTTGATTGTTGGAGAAGAGATTGTATTGCTGTCAACTTTTGAATTAGTTGCTTGTTGCTAAAATAAGAATGTTTTTCAAGCAGGAATCAAAAAGACATTTTTCAAGCAATATGGTCAAAATTTAGAGAGTTCTCCACCATGCAACATACTTTCTTTTTTTAAAAAAATATATATTATAAATGAAATACAATAGAGGAGAGGTGTCAAACCCGTGTCGTCACGTCGTTGTCACGTGACATATTGCAACTTTTTCTCCCTTCGCTAAACTTGGGGTGGGCGTGGTACATCCAGCCCTGGAACATATAATAATCCCAGAAGAACTGTTAGTTTCAATCACGAGACAGAGCAATGGCTATTTGTAAAAATGTCAATTTACACTGCAATTAAAGATAACAGTGAAGAACAAGTAGAAAAGCACAGCAGCTTTCCTGACACTGAGTGTCTTCAAGTTGTGTGGCAGTCCCCATCCAACATGATAATTTCTGAGTAGTCTATTGTGGCCTAGCAGAGATAACTGCAGAGTCAGACGAGGAGGAGATGGAGGGAGAGCCTGGGCCAAATTTGGAGCCTTTGGAAGACTCTGATAAAAAAGCAGCATCAGAGACAGAGGTAGGGTAGGTAGCTGTCTTCGGGGCCTGAGCTGAGTGAGGGGAACAGATGGGGCCTATCCCCAGATGCGTGTATGTGCAGAGAGGAAAAGAGAGGAGAACAAAGGAAAGCAGTAAGCTGGCTCTCAGGGAGAAGCAGACAATAGCCAGCCCCTTCCTGGCTGGAAAATAAATAGGAAGGGTTTGGAAGTGGCCGGTTGTCACAGACAACCATTCTTTTTTAGTATACAGTCTACTGTTGACCTCACCCCATTCCTAAGAGGTCTGTAAGAGGGCGTGCATAAGAGCACCAGTATGCCTATTGTCCCTGTCCTAATGTTTCCTCTATTTGTATCTATTTTATGTATTCAATTCATGCTTATACTTATATATATTACCTAATATGTTCTTGACAAATAAAATAAAATAAAATAAAATAAAATAAAATAAATAAATAAGCAATCAATCAATTCAGATTTCTTGGAAAAACCCAGGTTTGTTGGGACGTTTGATTTTTTGTTTATGACTGTTACTGCCCTGTTGTAAAAAGAGGTTTGTTTTACTTGCAGATAAATGTTTTATCACTACTTGCGAAAGGCTGGGTCAGAACAGTAATCCAGGACATGAAGTCCAGATATCTGACCCTTCACAGGTACAGAAAGGTTGACTTACCATATACAAAATCGTGGACGGTAGAATAATCAGCAATTTGATTTTAATTGGTATTTTACTTTAGCCTCTATGATTTTACCAGCTGATCTAGTTGAATGCTAAGCTTTACACATTTTCAGATCTATAATAGCATGCCGAAAATAGCATGAACAAAATAAAATCTATACTACCGCAACCATCAAGTTTCTCTGGGAAGATCCAGATAGAAACAGATTAATTCAGGAGGAAGTGCTGGTTGAGAAAAGACTACAGAGGACTCGTTTTCTTTTTTTACCAGAGAAAAATAAGTACAATTTTAAAACAACCTAAGGCTATGCTTTTGCTTTAGATTCAAAGTGAAGAAAAATCTGCTGCATCTTTACCTGGGGTCATGCGGCTGCCCTCCATAGAAGTGCCAAGAAAAGATACGCTTGGTTGAAAGAGCTGCTGACAGATCTCACATGAAAGCCCAAACAGTCAGGTGCAAGACATGCTTTTGCTGTTATAATCGAGTTCTTCCATCTCCTTGTACGATAATATTGTCAGCTGGATTTCTGTGTATTCTATCTGATGGTATCGATGTATATCGGCCTTCTTTTGGTTGCTGAGAGGCTCAGCAACGAAGAAATCCTTGGATTGGTAGAAAGTGATAGTTCTTTTTCTCGCTTCATTTCTGTTTTGTAGGCCATACAGTCAAATTGTGCTTTCCTTCTTATTTCTAACTTTGACTTGTCTGTCTCCAGCCACAAGTGTATTGTGTGTGCATATTCTGTTGATTTTGGATTCAGCTTAATCATAAAAATCATTAACTTTCCCTTCTTATGCAGAGATTAAAGAATAATTTGGTCTGAATGTGATATTATTTATTTATTTATTTATTTATTTATTTGTTTATTTATTTATTTATTTATTTATTTATTTATTTATTTATTTATTTATTTATTTATTTATTTATTTATTTATTTATTTATTTATTTATTATATTTCTATACCGCCTTTCTCCCGTAGGACTCAAGGCGGTGTACAGTCAAGAAAAATATAGATACACAAACATCATAAAATTGCTAATTAAAATTATTATTATAACATAGTTTGGCCCAATTAAATAGAACCTAAAATTAGATAACATTTTAAAAACATTCACATGTTCATATGTTTAGCCCCACCTGTTGGAACATCAGGGTTTTGAGGGCATGGCAGAAAGCACGGAGATGCTTTCAGGGATATTTCGTATCTCAGGAGGCAGTTCATTCCAAAGGGTTGGAGCCCTCACAGAGAAGGCCCTCCCCCTGGGAGTCGCCAGTTGGCATAATTTGACTGACGGTACCCTGAGTAGTCCCTCCCTGTGAGAACGAACTGGTCGGTGGGAGGCTATTGGTGGCAAAAGACGGTCTCGTAGGTACCCAGGTCCTAAGCCATGGAGCGCTTTAAAGGTGATAACTAACACCTTTCCCATGAAATCTAATTAATAATATTCAGTTATTGACTGCATGGTACCTAGGTACTTGCTTCATGACCACAATAGCAACACTCGTCCTTTTTTGTTTTCACATCTTTGGTTTAACGTTTTTTATTGAGTTATAAGATATAATAAGATACAAGTTTTCACATCTTGAGTAGTAAACAACACAATTTTCTCCTTTTTTTTTTGAAAAATTTTATTTTTATTTTTAAACAAACATACATAAAAACATAAAACCATCTTCAATTACACACAGTGTGTCGGTTGGTTACAAGTCTCTTGGTGCGTCTTCACCATATTCATAGCTTACAGTTTACCTAAATTCTCATATTATCGATCTAATATATATCTATGTATTATTGTCCTCATTAATCATTTATTTGACTATAGCTATTCTTCCCTCATTTTGTACAAAATATTCTAAGATTTGAGTTAATTTATATTATAACAGTCATTTCATCATCCTGAATCGATCCAATAATAATACATCTTTATGTTATATTTTATATAGTTCTACGATTCTTGTATTATAAAAATCTCTGTCATATTTCATTTCCATATTTTTTATCTAACCATTGATAAAATAAATCCCATATCTTATAATATTGTTTATCTTCTTGTTCTCTAATTTCAAATGTCAATTTACTCATTTCAGCAGATTCCATTATTTTCTTAATAACTTCATCTTGCGTTGGTATTTTCTCATTTTTCCAATTTTTAGTAAATACAATTCTAGCCGCTGTTAATACATTCACAATCAGATATCTCAATTCTCTATTATATATTTCAGGTACAATCCCCAATAAAAAAATCTCTGGTTTAAAATCTATGTGTTTTTTATCATTTTTTCCAATCATGTGTGGATTTTAGTCCAATATCTTTTGGCTTCTGCACACGTCCACCACATATAGTAATATGAACCCGAACACAACCTTCTCCTTGACAGTGTCCAATTCTTCTCTATTTTTATTCAATGATGCCTAAAATGTTAATGTGTAGTGAGTTCATTTCATCTTTAACTGGGTTGGTATTTTTTCTTTTCTTAAATAGCAACATCAGCAACTAAGGTTTCTGAAGTTTTTAATCAAGCCATATCATAAGCACCATTAATATTCTTCCTCCATAAAAATCATTTAAGAAGAAAAGGAGGAAGAGCAGAGAAAATGTAAGATTCAGTCTACAACTGTCCAGTAGTTTTATCTGGAAGTTAGCAGTGGGCATAACAAAGAAAACAAATTTTTGGCTTTTCAGCAAATGCTTAGAGTTCTACAGAACTAATTTTGCTCTATAGCTCTACTCATTGATTCTTTTCAACAAATAGAAAATAATTTTCAAGAATTAAAAAAACAAATGAAGAGAATAATTATACTGTAAGAGTAATAGAACTTTGCTACACACCTTTGAACAGGTTATATTCCTTTTAGTGTTTGAGGAAGAATGGCAACTATGCTCTGAATAATAAAACTAATTGGTGCACCTTAACAACCGAAACTGAATTAATACATTCACTGAATATAGTGATTATGCATACTGTCTCTTAAAATCAACTGAGATATACTTTAGCAGATTATTAAAAAGTACATGAAGAGAATATGAAAGGTATTGCTATTTTATTCTCTTATTGTGGGTGTATTAATAAATTGCCTTTCTATAGTTTGTTTTAAGGCAGACAAATGACATTTTTAGGGGGTTTTTTTTGTACATTACATCTCTTTGCTCTTTCTGTCAGCATTTATTACAATCCTAGGACGAGGCTCCTAGAAAATTGCACTATATCAAGCCAGAACATTTACCCCTTACTCAAAGATAATCCCATAATCAACATTGCCAAGTCTGCCAGGCAGTAAATTTGCAGCCTCTCAAGCAGAGAACTTCCCAACCAACCTTTGCTGAATACTTAGGTGGAGATCCCCGAGTCCTCTTAGGCACACTTAGTCATGTCTACTTGGCCCCAATGAGTTTGCAGAGGTGCATCAGAACACAGAAAATTATAGTAAGAAGACACACTTGTCCTGTGTTAATTCCTGTTGGTTAATTTAGTTATAGCTTAGTTATTGAATCAACAGAAAATATAACATTTTTTTAAAAAAAATCTGAACATGGCCCAATGGCAGGAGAAGTCAATGAATGAAATTATGAATATCATCCTTAATTGTACTAATTGCAACAAAGTCTCACTAGCAGCTGAGTTCCACCTGGAAGCCCAAGTTTCATTTTCATTGGATTATGATTTTTTTTCATGAGTGATTATGATTCTGCTTCTCTTATGGCCACAACTGCAGAGAAGGTAATCTGAAAAACAGAGAACAACAAATTTGAATTTTACATATAATAATGGAGATATGAAAGCAATCCTAGAACTAACATTTCAGGAATAACGTATATTCCAAAATCCATAGTATTTATCCTTTTTATGTAGGAGATTGTAATAGAAAGTTTACCATCTTCTACAAACATCTGTGGTAGTTCTTGAATGAATGAATATTTCATAGAATTTGCTCATTTCCTTTCAGTTAATGTGCCGCAAGGAAAAGACATAGATCTATTGTAAATTAAGGTAGCTAAATAATTAACCCCATTAAGGAGTCTCAGAGGGCAAGTTAATAAACTACTTACTGGGACCTCTACACAATGAATGATATCCCACCCTACTGTGTCCATATGGGTACCAGCATCAATTTTATACTATCATTGCACTCCAGGGCATATCTACCAGTGATTTTGAAATGGGGTGACATTGCTCTGATACTGAAAATAATAAATATTTTTGCACAAGGGAAATTAAAAGAAATGAGCTTCTGAAATGCGTTTCCTGAAGATGAATTTATACTACTCATCTGTTCCAAAGTGCAGGCATATAAAAGAACAATAAAGCTATTATTATTTAATTATTTCTATCCAAAGGTAAATTATATTGTAACCAAACATTGAAAAGAATATGATTCAAATGTTAGGCAATTGATCATCTGTCCTTAAAATTTTCATTTGATGCTACCATTGGAGCATCTCAAAGCTGCCTACAAAATAAATAAGTAAGTAATGTTTTCGATAAAAACAATTACATAAACTTCCCAAGAATAAAATATCCATCTGTAAGACCACAGAAAGATGAAATGAAAAATTCATTAAAAAAAAAAAAAGCTCTAGCATCCTGAGGCTTTGTTATTCTATAAAAAAAATGGTTGAACAGACATGTCTGATAGAAAAAAAAAGTGTGAGAATTAGCCTGTTCCATGGAGGAAAATTCCCTTGAAAGAAAGTTCCACGATCCGGTGGCATATTGCTTTGGTCTTCATCCTGTGGGAATCTTCCAGATGAAATTAATGTACATGTTTAATGTACATTAATGTACACTAATGTACATTAATGTATAGTACATTAATGTACTGTAACAACATTGCCAAAAAGGCATTAAGAGTTGTCAACCTAATCTTGCGAAGCTTTTTCTCCAGTAACATTGTACTGCAGACTAGGGCATACAAAACCTTTGCTAGACCAATTCCAGAATACAGCTCATCTGCCTAGAATCTACACTGTATATTGGATATTAGTACAATTGAGAGAGTCCAGAGGTATTTCACAAGAAGAGTCCTCTACTCCTCTACTCTCAATAGTATACCTTATGCTACCAGGCTTGAAATTTTGGGCTTGGACATCCTAGAACTATGCCACCTACGGTGTGACCTAAGCATAGTACACAAAATTATCTGCTACAACATACTACCTGTCAATGACTACTTCAGCTTCAACCATAATAATACACAAGCACACAATAGATACAAACTCAAGGTAAACCACTCCAAACTCGATTGCAGAAAATACAACTTCAGCAACAGAGTGGTCAATGCCTGGAATGCCCTACCTGACTCTGTTGTTACATCCCCAAACCCCCGTAACTTTAACCTTAGACTGTCTACTGTTGACCTCACCCCATTCCTTAGAGGTCTGTAACGGGCATGCATACTGTAAGTGCACCAGCGTGCCTATTGTCCCTGTCCTACTGTCTCCATTTATTTGTACCCATTTACTATGTTCATATTTATGTTTATATTTATACCTGTTATCTTTTACATGTTTGACAAACTAACTAACTAAATAAAAATAAATAAATTAATGTTATGTCGGATGACATAAATGAAAGTGGCCTTTTAAATACTGAGACTTAAATAGGCTTCATCAACTAACATGTAAGGCAGAAAGTGCACTGCTTCCAGGATTAGCCTTATTCACTTTCTTTAACAATTGTACAGCTACACTCAATGCCATTTCCAGTTTCCAAACTGTCTTCAAGAATAGATCACTGTAGTAATCCAACTGTGAAGTTATTTGGATGTGGTATGGGGAGCTAAGATTGTTCTGTCCTGATAGAGTTGCCATCTTAAAGAGTCCACCTGTAAATCTAGTGATAGATTGTACTCAAAGAAAGTCTTTATGCTAGGTACCTATTCATCGTTACCTCCAGCAACTATCAAAATTCTCTTTATTGAGACTGAAAACAGAGACAGGACACTCCAAATGCCTAAATGATGGGATGGAGTGGAAGAGAATTATAGAACCCTCGGTACCCCCATGAGGCCAGTACCATGAGACTGAATGCAATCCTCCACATCAATGGAAGGACTGCAACACTGTTTTCCAATATCCAACTTCAGCAATATCCTACAATGATTAATGTTAAAATACTTAATACTATGTAAGCAATGTAGGAGGATCAGCATAGTAGCACTCCCCCGCCTCTCTCCCAGTACAATCCATCAGTCAAGGCAGTCAAAGCCATTTCAGTACAAGGCTGCAGACAGAGTCAAATTATTTGAAGCATAAATGTAGCTGCGTCGTTACAGCCAAGTATGTTAGCTAATAAAGCTATATTTGTAACTAGATTATAAGCATGACTTCCTTATACATTGCCCATTTGGTGGGTCCAGCAATCAAGGAAACAGATCCAGTTACAGATGAGATGTGCAATAGATTCTGCAATCCTTGTGGTCTCTAATTCACTTTACTCTCAAAGTGTTTCAGAAACCAATTACTGTAAGGCACCGAATTGGTTTTAAGACTAGTCTTTCAGGAGTCTACTGACTGAGAAAATCTCTGCTGGGTGATTTAATGAGGAAGTAATGATGATGGAAAAGAAAATTATCTTGCCTCCTTTGCTGGAGATATACAATAGATACAGTTATAGGCTCTGACCCGTGCTCTGCTGTATTCATTGCAAGATTTATACCGACTATGTTCCAGCAATATAATAGTTTGCTTCAATCCCGAGTTGTTCATAAAACATGGAGCTTGCCTTCTTGCAACTGGAAAGTTACTCGGGAGCGATAGTATCAAAGCCATTCTCATCTCATTATTCCACAGAACCAGAGCCTCAGCAGATCACCACCTAAATCATTCAAAAGTCACTGATTCTGCAAGTCTTCAAAAGAGGGTGATTTGAATTTGTCCTCCTCCCTGATAGAAGGGATCATCCAGAGATACTTCAAATCAAAGCTGCAGGTGACATCTCACGATAATGGGATGACTCTCAGTCTGTCAATCATTGATATATTTTCCTTCTGTCAGAGACTAATTCTCAACTGTATGTATTTTGTCTTCATTCTAAGTTTTTCCCCATAGTTATCATAGTAATCATGAAGTCTTAAACTATGTTTCAGTCTTAAATCATGAAGTCTTAAACTATGAAGAATGGTTACAGGAACTGGGCATGGCTAGTCTAGTGAAGAAAAGGAACAGGGGAGACATGATAGCAGTGTTCCGATATCTGAGGGGCTGCCACAGAGAGAAATAGGTCAGGCTATTTTGCAAGGCACTTGAAGGCCAGACAAGGAATAATGGATGGAAACTAATCAAGGATAGATTCAGCCTAGAAATGAGCAGAAACTTTCTGACAGTGAGAAAAATCAACCAATTATTCTGCCCCAGCTACGGACCCTAAAGAACGCAGCACACACAAAGTTCGTACAAATCTTAATTTACTAATTAAAGACTGCTAATGAGCTTTCTTAGTAGTTGTTCAAACACAAGTACAATAAATCAGTCTTTTCTGAACAAGGGCTGTTAATTTAACTTCATTAACAGCCGACAAGAATTCAAAGAATAATAAGTCAGTTCTGAGGCACAGTATTTCAGATAACCATAATCTTACTGTGGTTGGCAGAATGCCCAGAAGCAATTTGCAGGAAAACTGATAAGAGAAAAACAAGAGCTGAAATGAAAGTTTTCTGTAATCAAGACTCGAAGGAATGTGAATGAACTTGTTTCCTGCAAATTGCATCAGGCGTCGTCCTTCCTTAAATAGGCTAGGGGAGTGGCCAATTAGCCCCAAGCCTTACTCTCGAGACCTCCTCCTGAGGAGCCCTCCTGCCTTTTCACAGCTCTGCACGCTCATGCATCAAGAAGAGGCTCCTCCTCTTCTTCGTCTTCACTTATTGAAGGTTCTGAAGGCCCTGGCTGAATCCCCGCCTCCGGCAACACATTTTCTCCAGCCTCCTCATTGTCCACCTCGAGTGCCAACTGCACAGGCTGCTGGCACAGCACCACACCAGCCTCCTCGCTGTCAGAATCAGCTACTAACTGCACAGGCCGCTGACGGGCCACAACACCAATGGAACAGCCTGCCTTTGGAAGTTGTGGGAGCTTCATCAGAAGAGATTAGACTGCCATTTGTCAGAAATGGTGTAGGGTCTCCTGCTTGGGTGGGGGATTGGACTAGATGACCTACAAGGTCCCTTCCAACTCTGTTAATCTGTTAATCTAGGTTTGAGTGAATAATTCTGACCCAGACTTGAATTATTCAAAGACCATATACTTTTAGGCAGAAAGATGTTAGCGTTACACTAATAAGACCCCGCTTATGTCTCTGCAACCCAACACTAGGTACAAAATCACCTTTGGGTGTCACCTAAAGGAGACAAATTTGGTGTGTTGATAGCATGCCATGCAAACTCTCAACCCTACCCTTCTATTTTTTGCTGGGATTAAACTCAATATCTGTCCAAGAGGAAATGAATAAATGTTGCCCCTGCTATAGATCATACCCAGACAGGTCTCAGTGACATTAAGGAAGTTAGCTTTTTCTTTCTATATGATTTTTGAAAAAGTATATTTTTTGAATAAAGAACAGTTTAGGGTAATTTTATAGACACATCCAGTACAGTTTTTTTGGGGGGGAATAATATAGTTGTAATATCCCATTGCCTTCTTTAAAAAAATTTTTCAACTTTCCTTAAGTCTACCATCTTGGCATTGCATAGTATTTTCTTATTCCAGTATCAGGCTAGTCTGATTTACTG